TTTTAGGCAGGTATGAGGAAATTCACTATGCGAGTCAAAGCTACTTGACATTAGTGATATATAAAAAGCTATTGTTAATTGATTTATTGGGAATAAAACCATTGATAAAAAAACAATACACCTCATGTTGAAACTGCATATCAAAGTTTCTGATATATCTATTTTTAGTATATGCTTAATGAGGGTACTTCCGCCCGTACGAGCACAAAATGCAGCTTTTATACTAAACATTATATACTAAAGTTATAATTATTTCAAAACAACCAATATATCAACATGTTATTATCAAACATTTAGTTTCATAAATATAAATTAAGAATAATTATCAACAGCAAAATTATTAAAGTCTTATGCCTGAAATCTTCTTTATATTGACAAATTCAATCACTAATAGTATACTTGATATGCTGTGTGTAAAATGTAATTCAAAATGTAACAAATTATAATGTCATGTACTACTAAAAAAGGGAAATAACAAATTTATTACCAGAACATTAATAGCTATTTATAGCTTTCGAATTCATGTACAGCAGAACTGCTTTCCGGTTCTCATGAATAAATATGACACGCTGCGAATCTCCGAAGGGGGAACCAATATAACAATCGAAAGGAGTTATTAAATCCGAATTTATTTTTAGCTGTAAATCGAAGAGATTAATTGTTAAAATCTGGGCCCATGGACAAAAAAAAGTAAACACAAATACCTCCGCGCCTGTGGGCGCAGAGCAATAAACAGCAGACTTTTTCGTCTAGTTTGACTACGTACCGCCCTTTACTATTGACAAAAATCAATAGTTATTAGTTTTAATATCACGGAATTTGCAAATCCTAATTTACACTATCTGCCTGTTGAAGTTCATTATCAACATGTTTTATTCTAATTTAGATAGGATTGTTTACAAATTAAAGCATTTGTGTTTCTCCGGCAGTGTCATTAATACACGAATAATGCAGCATACAATCTACAGTGTATAACCGGTAATACAAACAGCACATACGAATAAACACCAGGAATAGTGTCCAAGAAACACCTGTGGTATCGAGACTGTGCTGCATCGTATACTACAGCAAACATTCAAATATCTTTTATCAGTATTTACTTATTAATTATGTTTCAAAGCACAAAAGTCGCTGCACATTTTTAATGAGAAATGAAATTTCATCATCATCATCATCATCATATCTAAAAATTACTTCAGACAATGTTTAAAGTAATACAAATATACAAATTTATTAAGCGGTTTTAGCTCAAATAGACCTATGCATATATTACTTTCATAGAAGAAGACAAGTTTGTGATTGATATGTCTGTAATTTTAACGTTTGATGACGCTATTTATAGCTATAAAATTTACGGTACATGCCGTGAACCGCCCGGTTACATGTAGCTAAATAGATAGAGCGTTTCACTGTGAATCGTCGACTCGGTTCAGACTCCCGGACCTTGCAGGTCTGATTACAAAATTCTTTCTACAGATATTCACATTGAACCTCTGCTCTGGTATGAACATAAGGTCCTTGCGATTTTGAAGGAAAATTTTAGGAAATGAGTACTGATAAACTGATTGACTGACAGTGATATATTCAATGTGGCTTACTACCGATATACAAACATCGCTACCAGGTTGCACGCCATGAACTTTCATTTCTAATCCTGATGATTATAATCAATTATTGTAATGAATATTGTTTCAGGCAAACTCTGGTTATATTATTTCGTGCAAATGCAATTATAGATAAAATACCATAAATACACCTTATTTAAACTATTTGTAGGTGATGGGTCTATGTTTTAGCAGAAATTATTAACTGGTATTAATTATATATAAAGTGTAAGAAAACACTTCTGAAATATCATGCATAAACTAACGATTCGTGTCTTGTTATCGTTATATATGTTGTTAATTATATATTTTCTAATCAGTTAAGATTTAGTTTTCCTGGTATTTCATTTAGTTTCAACAACTGAGTTTAAGTACATGATGATTGTCTTTCCTGTACAATGCATAAAAAGTTAATGAGTTTCGGTTTCACTGTGGTCATGGTAGTATTACAACATGTATTTGTTTTGTAATTATAGATACTCCAGTTTCAATAGATATTCACACACCAGGGTTGTTTTGTAAATGATTCATATGTAATATTATACATCGTCTGCACCAGCCGATCATGCAGTGTATATTTTTGTTTACCTTGTAACAACAACCAAGCCTGGCATTTATATGGAGGCTATTCGTTGCCAAAAATCCAGCCTTGTTGATCTGACTTGAACAGTTTGATTACGAACAAAATACAATTGTATTTCTTTGTATGTAAACTCCAATGTTGCATTCTTGGATTGAGTTTGTAGATTTAACATTGTAAACATGTTTGCAACAAAATACATTTTGTTTTACGACAAAACATATACATTGTACTGTTTTTCTAATAGTGGCAATACCAAGTGTGCATCATAACAAGCGGAATACTCATTGTTCGTGTATACGCCGACAAAACAGAAGTTACATTCTCAGCTTTTACATTGTCAAACCATCATGATACGGATCAGCATAACCCAGCTTTACACGTTTTTCAATAGGAGATAAAATAAGCTCCGCCCATTTTCCCGCCCACTACATCATCGTAAATAATCGTATTTATCCGCTCATTTTCGGTATTTACCGTCGGCGACAAGAAGGAAACAAGAACACGCATCGGAGTAGTTTCCGTTTACCACACCTTTTATGTGTTTAGTTATTCACCAAACATAATTCACTTGCATGATTGCCATATGATATGTCTTTATTCAATTAACATCAGCGACTTTAAATGATTATGGGCATTTTAATTTTTTAAAGGTTGTAGCTATCACATTTCCGAGAAATAAAAAATAAAAAAAACCCTCATCACCAGGTTACTTACTGTCTGAGGAAGGAAGTAATAACTATTGATAAGACTATATTTAACGACAAATAAATTTTACTGAGGATATTCCAATTTAATAAGGAATAAGTAACATTGTCAGTTATGCTATTACCTTACCACTTGAAATTTTTTTAAGTCAACATCTGTTAGAGATTTCGATACGACTAAATACTAATACAGACCAAATTCTGGCTGTTGTCTTTCCGAGTTGTAGCATTTACTAGTAACTTTAATTCTAGAGTATAACTTGACAAGAAAAAAACTTTGAACAATAGTAAAATTAAAACCAAAGTTGTATGTACCCTTTCGTACATAACTTTTTTTATTTTTACCATACTGTACAGTTGAGATATATTTTACCATTTTTCTTCAATAATATTTAAAGGGTTTTTATGACATGACGAAACTGGAAGTAATTTTTCGAGATTAATACTCAGTTTGATGTAGATCCAGATCAGTAACTTGTGTGCAAAATTTTAGATAATTCGCTCTTGCTGTTTATCCAGGATTATTATTCAAATTGTGAAAAATGACCCGAAATGGAAAAGCGTTTAAACTCTTTTAACTCAAATCGTATCATCAATAGCACAAAAATACGCTTTTCAGTTCATTTTTTAGTATATTTATGAATTATTTTTGCATGTCTTCCTGTATTACGTGACCCAGCTGAGCTGTGTAAAAAGTAAATTTTATGATTTTAGATTTTTGAACCTCAGTGGAATTCCTTTAAATGAGTGCAAAGGCATGTATGTTGATTATCAATTTATGTATACCTTGCTTATTTTATCTCTAAGAAAGTCATCACTTACAAAACTTAATAAATATTCTGTGTAGTACTTAATGTACATAAAAATAGTTCTCTGCTTTTGATCAGAAAGACAACAAGTCTAGGTAACAGCAATATATTGACAGCATGTATACACAGATCTTAGAGCTGTCATTGATTCAGTACAATGCATATAAGAAGACCTTTACCTACGTCAGCTTACATATTTTTAATAATAAAAGGCTAATGCACATCCTATGACTCGAAATATCTCCCAATGGAGGTAAACAGAGATTCTAGGATACACTTAAACATTAAAATAGGACAAATTCAAAAGTTTTTGGTTATACAACGGAATTTTCGATAGTAACCTTTAAATAGTTCCATAGCTATACACATGGTAAAACATTTGGGTTTTTCTACAACCCAATATAGCCCTTTAAAGAAAGAAGACACAGGCTTACTGTTCAGTTCTCTTTATTCGTTTTGCCAAAAGTGACTTCCATGTATTGCATTCTAGTAATGTTTGCTGAATGTAAAAGACATGCTTTGAAATACCACCGTTGTAACGTTTGAAGGCGATAAAAACAAATGTGGTTTGTGTCTTTATATATGGGGAACTCATTATCAGTATAAACGTTGTTACATTGTTACAATAAATATTAACCAATTTTGCATTACTTTAATATCCTGTGCTAGAATACGTATTAACAAAATCAGAGGATATTCAAAGTCAACTGTAATGCAGTTGATGTATGTGAAATTTATAACAGTTTTAAATAATTTGTAATATTTTTGTACCCGCAAGAGTTACCTCTCTTTATATTCTGCTTTCGTGAAAATTGGCTCCGCCTATTAATTTTCGTCTATTTCCGTGAATATTCCATATATGGAAGTTGCAAAATCGTTTACAAATGTTAATCAAAGGAAAGTGTGCTGTTGTCAACCTGAGAGTGTTAACTGGTGCAGTTACACTCTTGAAACGTCATGATGCACAGCATTAAACGTGTTGTGTACGTTCTATTGTTAACATGTCTACATGTCGCAAATTTGAAGTTATACATTTCTAAATACAGTTTGCAATTTAGCTAAGTTGCATGTAAACAACTTCCATTTTATCAAATCGAGATAATCAAAACGCTTAATACCAGTGCAGTATGTAACTCTCGGATCGACAATTAGATTTTTACAAATCTGTTTAGTAGAACCGAAATATGCATTGTCAAGTTTCAAAGGCTGAATTTTTGGAAACGAATAGCCTCCATACATTTAAGATACAATTAACCTAGCAAAAAAGCCATGTGATCAGTTTCGTGTTTTTAAAACTTTTAAAATTACAATACAAAGGAAGTTATATAGTATTGATCATACGCACAACATGTGTTGTAAATTGTGTACTTTGTCACGCACAGCTAGTTATCAAAATAGATATCAGTGAAAACATAATTCGCAAAACTATTAGAATGTGATTATGTGTGGATTTTCCTGAAGTAAGACAGCATTTAATGTAGAAACAGGTATGTGTTGTATTTTTTGTCTTAAAGAAGATAACAGATAATATGCCGTTGTACTCATATTTCAAAATTGCATAAAACTGATGAAAGAAATCGGAATGTCGCTTATTTATATAATACAGATTTTTTTTATCTCGGTCAAAACAGGGCACTCCCAGGACCTGTGATCACTGGATTTGGGATTGTAAACAACTTTGGTTTTGACATTTGTTGTAATTTATGGCACTAAAAGTTATAATGTTTACTTATATCGTGTAAATATAATGATAACTATATCGATTTAGACTTAAACTTGAAATATGGTCAGAGCTTTACCATGGGACAGGACGTGGTGGTTGCACACTTCCTTCAAGCGAGCGAATATGATCAAGATGGCTAACGAGTCATAAAAATGCTTATAACGCCCGCCCTTATTTCGTCCAGGTTGGTCGGTTTGTATGTTAACTTTTTTAAATATGCCCATTTATTAACTAAAGGCTATTAATGTATACGACACACTCGGTGGACAAAATACTTGCAGGCGTTATAATTTTTCATGACTCATTAGCCATGACTGGATAGCAAATCTGTTAATTTGCAACCATTTCGCTTCCTTGAACTAAATGTGTAGCTATATCCCAAACAAAAAAAATATAGGAATGAATCAGTATAATAAATGATAAACAAATTTACCATTTATTCCCAATTTATTATAGATGGAAATGACATGCAAATGAGCCAATGCATTATGAATAAATTGTTAATAAATCAGTGAAATGAATTGGTAATGAATTGGGTCCATTTACCAACTTAAAATATATTATGAATTGTTAATAAATCAGGTTAACAAATGGGTAATGAATTTGGTCCTTTTTTTGACTTAGTCAATGAATTATCAACAAATCAGGTTAATCAATTGGCAATAAATTAGGTTCGCTGACCAACTGATTCATTAATGAATTGCAAATAAATTGTTAATGAATCACTAATAAATTGTATTTTTTCTTCTTCCATAAACCGAAATTCAATGTATTAATGAATCATTAACAAATCAGGCTTGCCTGCTTATATTCATTTAATGGATTTTAAATAAATGCAGGTTCCAATGATGGTGTCAATTCCGGAGAAAAATATGAAAATAATAATCATAACATATCTTGATAAATTTTATTTATTTTTCTTTTATTTTTTACAAACAAAAGCTGACTAGATTAATCAAGAACATGCAACAAGATTAAATTTGTGAAAAATCTATGCCACCACATCAATAACATTGAAAACTCATAATGTACGTGCATAGCTCATTTCATAAATATCCCTGCAAATAAAACAGGTAATGTCAGGTAAACAAGTAAAGGGGAATAATTCTGGAAATATTCGTGCTTGCTGTTAGGAACATATTTCTAGTTTTAGAAACTAGGGCTTTATGTCAGTCTGAAAACATCTTTGCCTTCCTTTTCAGTGTCTGTCTGGAGCTACACCTTTTTTATTCCTATAATCATTAAATGTTGAATCTCTATACTGAGGCAATGAATGGCATACTCTGAAATAGAAAATAAAATTCTCATAAATGTATCATATTTATAAATAAAATATCAAAATTTAAACTTAGACTTCTGACATATCACTCTGAAAAAAGTATAATATATTTTTGTTCTATTTGCAATACAATCTTAATTTGAATTTCAACTCGAGCCAAATACACTAAAGGACTCAACCACTTTGGACTGTACATGTTCTATTGAATAAAAACCAGCAGTATATTTCACAAAGTCTGATGATAGATAAATATTTGTTGATAAAACAAACCGGTGAATGTTCGATTTCATTTTCAAGAGAGGAATGAACAAATATTTTGTAGCAAGTCCAGTTTTTTACCATTTGTTTCAATTAAATTTTAAACGAAATTGAAAGGCTATGACATTGAATTACTATATGTACATGAACAAAATTCAGATTGAAAAGTATTATTTTTTATCATTTACTAGTACTTAATATTTAAAAAGCACATTGATGTTTTTAAAATGATTAATATATATGTAGCCCTATACTTACGCTTCAAAGACTCATATATGTCATTTCCTTGGAATGCCCTCGTCCCATAACTAATAGCAAACTCTTCACGATCAAAGAAGCCGTCCATCTGCATTTTATTATCTCCCGTTCATCTGCTTTTTCAGAGTTGCTGATTTTTACGTTCTGTCCTTTCTTTGCTGCTCTTTTCAGTTTTCTGCGTAATAACTAAGTAAAAGAAAAATAGTCTTCTGAAGTCACTTAAAATAAAAAAGAACATCATTTTTCATCGCATTCAAATGTGCAGATGAGCTCAGTGTGAAACAATGCAGATTTATGTTTTTTAAAATGGGCTGTACATAGATATCCTCATAAACAATGCATGTACATGCGTGCATATTTTAAAACTTGTATCTTAATTGTATCATAAATATTTTTCAATCCAAATCAAATGAATAAAAAAATGTTTAATTTAAGGTGGTGCCATTAGGGGGGGGGGGGACGAATCGTCACTAAAATGGGGCGAGTTGTTATAGGGCGAATCGATCGTTATACTAATCTGCACATTACTCCAGTAAATTTTATTTTTTGCCAACCTACATATATGATCTAGATCTATAGAAGGTTCCCAGCAAACACAAGACGTCATACTGACGTCAGATTTAAGTCAGGTTCTGACGTCGGATGACGGTCGGAAAAACGGTTGGATTTGAAAGTTTTTTTGACGTAATAATCTGACGTCAGGTAGACGTCAGAATCTAACCATTATTTAACCTTTTTCTAACCAAAATCTGACCATTATCTAACCATTTTCCGACCTCAATCTGACCATTTTCCGACCTCAATCTGACCATTTTCCGACCTCAATCTAACCAGTTTCTAACCATTTTCCGACCTCAATCTGACCATTTTCCGACCTAAATATTAACCCTTTTCTGCCCTAAATCTGATCATTTTCTGACCTTCATCTTATCATTCCCCTAATCTTTTTTGTTTCACCACGTCATAAATATTTTCTGGCTAATCCTGATTTGATCGAATTTAATGTAACTCATTCTATTAAGTAACTTTCCCTCAAATGAAATGTATAACAGAAAACTAAAAGCAAAAATATGTTTCATGCTCTTTTAATTTAAAATAAAAGTTGCAATTTTAAGCTGATACATACAATTTTAGTAAATTCTGCAAGGTTAAATAATTTTCATAAATAAACAAAATAAAACATAAAATAAGTTAATTACAAAACAAAAAGTATTACAAAAACAATGACATAAATGAAACTAAGAAAACATGTACAAATATTAAAGAACAAAACAATGTATGCACATTTCTATGAAAGTTTGCCTTATCAAATAAAATAATGAAAATATTATAATTTTAAGAAAAGTTAAAAGATTCTGATAATAATATTTCAAGCAATTTATGACAGATTTTCAGTACTTTAACTATATTTCTACAGCATTTCTAAAACATTTAGTGCCATTTTGCATATTTTGACCTCCTTTGATTATTGTCAGTAATGTATAAATTGCTGCCTTTTAGTTACTTCACAAAGTTATACTTTTAGATATCCATGAGAATTAGCACGAATTTTGAGGTGTGATGCTTTAATATATGACCTACTTTCAGCACCCATCGTCTGTCCGGAGGATATGTAGCGTTTGTAGCGCCCAATAGCGTGTGTGACATCATTTTCACTGAAAAAAAAAAGAAATTTATGAAACATGTAAAAATAACAAGCAAAAATGTTTTCATGGTTATCTTAACTTAATGAACAATTTTGCGTATGTAATAGAATTTACAAAAATCTTACTTTCATATGTTTCTTTTTACATATTAACGTGTTTCCGTCCCTCCGACCTTTGAGAGCATGTCCAACACTTTAACTACCTGAAAAGAAAATTATATTCTAACTTATGTATATATTCTACGTTAGAAATAGAACATTTACGCAAGTCTTAAATATTTCATAGTTTTAAATTAAAGATTTAATGCCGAAATGTCTGGAACCAAAACGTCTTTGGTTATTTGGACCAGACTGGATATTGGGTTACTTATGTGGTAAGCCTCGAAGAATAAGGTATCTAATCTAATAATGCTCACTAATATTCTCAGTTGTACATTAATTTCCAGTGTGCTCAGATTCTTAACAGATATATTATACTGCAAAAAATTAATCAACACAGTTTATAGAACATATTCTATTGAAATACTCAGTTCTATTATCTCTTATTTGCGCTTACCTGAACAGATGGCAAATATGTACGCTCGTCATCCTCTCAGCAGACGCAGTAGGTTACGACGTCATGTGGCCATTTTAACCAAGAATTATGTATGAGAGAACATGTATATCGCAGAAATATGATAGTGTGAGACGATATTTCTATCAGTCTGTTCATAATATATGAATATAAAATTTAAGAGATTCTCTCTGGCTATCCAGGCAATTATTCATTCGTAAATTCATATAGTGTAGAATATTAAATCATAAATAAATTGGAACATGACCTCTCTGTATCCGCAGGTGAAATAATCATTATAATATTCACTTATCAATGTGCATCCCGATTCCTGACCGACAGCCAAAACGTAACGCCTACGAATTTGAATTTCCATCCACGTGACTTTAGATTCGAATTATAGGTTAATTATGTTTTCTTTCCCTTTTCTGTCACTATGATTAAAATGTTAAAGCACTATTAAAAAACGCGTAATTTTGAATACATAATTATAATGTACCACAAATGAGAATATTAAATCAAACGTTAAATGATTGGAACTTGTAAACAGATATGTGGCTATAAATAGATTTCATAACAATACACATGTAACTTGCCAATATACAGCGCCACATATATATGTTTTAATTAGGTTGCAGCGCCGCGATCTTGGTCTCTATTTATATAAGAACACACTTCATTTGTAATCCAAATAACATTTGAAAAAAAGTTTAAATGATTACAACAGCAAATAAGCATTATGTTTTTTTCAGTTTTTGTTATTTACGCGTA